GTTATATATACACATACATACATATATATATATATATATATATACACACACACACACACACACACATATGTATATATATACAGATACTTTTGTATGAAATTCTTAAGAAGGTGATTGAAGTTCTAGTGCCTTCTATTGGAAAATGTTTGAACTGAATATAATACTTGTAGATCAAGCAAATTACAGGACACTGGCATTCAGCTTTTCAGTATGCTTTACATATAAAGATTTACAGGAAATAACATACATTTCTGATTGAAGCACAGATTTACGTACAATTTACCAATTGTCTCTTTTGAAGCCATAAATACTATGTTAATCTAGATTAACTGTAAAAATGTTTTCCATATGTGTGAATACAATATTTAGTTTGATTTAGCTGTTGGCTTATAAATTATCAAAAGTAACAATTTTTTACATTGCTCTTACTGTAGCATATACTGGTATCATTAATGTGACAGAAAGTATACTGAGAATTGTTCTCTCTGATCTTTAATTTATACACTAAATGTGATTGAAGTTCAGTACATAATTTTCAAGTCAGAACTATTACAGTATTTTTGGTAATGGATGAGAGAGATATTTTTATGCACATTTTAAAGAATTATAAAAATCATTAAGATGATGCAGGAATGAAACATTTTGTGTCTTTTGTGACCCTCTCTCTTCTGCCTAGTATCCAGTAAAATTTGACACATGTTGTGTATATATGTATACACAGTAGTGTCTAATATCCTGAATGTATTACATACACACATAAAACTGTGATCATTTTCTTTTTTTGTCTTAGTATGCCTATTCATTAAAATTTGCACTCAAAATGCTAATGTATTTAAAAAGAAGTTATGTCAGTGTTATGGTAGAAAGTAGCTTTTATACTAATATACATAAAATGAGTTATTGTTGTTGTAGTTTTAGTATACACCATTTGATATCCAGTGTTTCAAGGAGAACTGATTTTGCTCACCCATTCAACATTGTAATGGTAATCTCTTTGACAAATATCTTATTGTGTATTCTTGTAGTGACTTCAAGTATGCTTCTCATTTATTAATATATTATGCTGTTAAGTACAAAAGTTCATTATTTAAAAGGCACATCTACACTATTTAAAGTACAAATGAATGATATACTGAAAAATAGTGTCTTGTTAAAACTTAAATATCTCAATGTAAATTCTTACTTCTTCAAATGAAGGTAAAATTGAAGAGAAAAGAAAAGTGTGCCATTAAAAGCATAAAGCGTAATAAATTTTAACTTATTGTGAAGAAGATTTAAAACTAACACTGGTTTTTAAGCCACAAATAAAGCTCAAAGATAGTTTTATATGCATCTGATTTAGTTTATAATATAGCAGAGCAATAACAGTCTATTGTACTTGTAGCTTTAGAATGTCTGTACATAAAAAAAAAAGACAACATTTAGGCAATGTAGCTCAGACATTATTTTTATGTAGATTACCATATCCTTAAACATTTAAATATCTGTTTGTTCTTGAAGATATTCCATAAGGTATTATGCATACTTAACTTTTTAAGCCATATTTGCAAACAGTGAAATTTTTTTATCTAACCATAAGCAGTGTTATTTTACAGAGGTAGCTTTACTGTAAAAATAATAGGTCTGTAATTTTTTTAATGTCTGTTGAACAAAAAACTTCAATGAATCTGTTAACTGAAATTAATTTATACAGTATTGTATATACACAGGTAGTCTAACTGTTAGGCCTAAATGTAAAATATTTTTATGCTCACGATCAGTTGATGTTAAGTGAGCTCAATGGCACCTAGACTTAATCATGGTAGTTTAAAATTTTTATCTTGACTAATGGTTATTGAGTGGGTACAAATTAGCATACTCAGCACAGTACTTCACAGATTTTGAATTGTATCAAGTGTTGCACTGCTCAGAGCAAGTTAGTCAAAGCACAAAAGTGATATGTCTGTATTTGAGTTTTCATCACAAGATCAACAAGCAAGAGCTGCATACAATAACAGTCATTTTCATAAAACCCAGGGAAATTGGCAGCTATTTATGTTTTCAGCTCTGTTCAATAGACACACTTGAATTGTAACAGTGTACAAGCTAAATCTTAATATGAATGACCTTAGTTTTATAGTGTTATTTTTCAAATGTATCTCATTGTATAATTCTACAAAATGCACCATTAGAGCATGTTGTTGTATAAAAAGAAAATTATAAACAGTTTCTATATTTTTAATATATTACAGTATATACCTAGTGAATGTTAATAATTGCTCTTTTTATGTGGAAAACTCCAACAGTGAGATTTCAACTTAATTTTTGATGCAATAATGATGCTGTTCCAAACATCAATTAATTAAGTGCAACACCATGGTACATCAGTATTTAATAGTCTTAACTACTACATTTTATATTGTCAACTTGCAACACATAATATATAGATTGTTTCTTGAAATATCTTTAATAAATGTTAGTAGTTAGTTGTACCTTGAAGAATAATCAGTGTGACATGAGATTGTTCATTCATATGTATGTGTCTGAATATTTCAAAGAAGTTTCTAATTTTGACTCCATAACATTGCATTGTTTTACGTACTTGAAAAGCCTGAAAGTTAAGTGATTATTTTACTGTTAAGTAATATGGAATTGCATTGTTTTTACATGCTCAGAAAATGTTTTCATAAGACAGTTATTTCAATAAATGTTAAATATAGAGTGGGGGAAATGTTTTTTTTTAGATTTTATTCAAAAACATAGAAAGAAGCAAGATTTTGTGTGATTTTTGTTTATTGACAGACAGTTAATGCTTTATATGTTTGTTTTCTTTAATACTTTATATTGTGTTATATGAATTTGGATATGTGATAAGAAAATGTATGTAATTCACAAACTGATTAATGGCAGAGTATTGGCAGTTCATTTTATGTGTGTTTACTTTTCCAAAAGGAGTTTTCTACTTTTCCATATTAGAGCAAAACTATTGTTATTGCTCAGAAATGCATGTATTTATTACCCAATGCAGTATGTTTATTTACCTGGACCTTATTAGTATGATAAAAATAATATATATATATAGTGAGAAATTTGTATATGAATTAAATGTACTCAGAATTGCACTTTATGATTACTTTGATATTGTACATCCATACCTGTGTTACTTCTAAAACATTATAAATATTGCAAAATGTATATGATTTATAAATAGTTGAATTACAGTAAAACTTCCAGCATATCACATTTACATGTTAGATAACTTGGGTTGTATGAATCGTGGCATCCTTCCCACTATCTATTGAGTCCTTAAAGTCAAAGGTTTTTATGCTATTAGGTGAATATATATATTTCTTAAACTATCATTAAAATCTTAAATAATTCTACCATTCTTAATAATCCCAGAGCATATAAAGTATTAGTAATACTGTCATTTTGGTGGTGTTATACTCATATTTCATACAGTGTTTGATCAGAGTTTATTAAAATTTTAGAGGAATATATTTTAAATGCTAAATTTTTAACAAGATCAGAAATTTTCAGTTTTTTTATCTAGTACAATAGCTTGTGAAATGATATATTTCTTTTTTCCCTTAATTTGTAAAATCTAGTCTACTATATTGGCCACAGTTTATAATAGCCACTGTTTTGACAGTTTTCATCAAGTTTAATCTTCACTAAACAGGGAGCCAAAGGCCACCTGTTTTAACCAATTACTCCACTATTCATTAGTGTATTGTCTGTCAGTCAGTCAGTAAACACTAAAATGACATCACATGAGGGATGCTTAATATCACAATTTGTACTGTCATTATGTCAGTAAAATCTGTGCATGCCATGAATCGTGAGAAGAAATATGCACACTGTAGGCTACAACATACACAGCATGACATATGAACTTCATAAGCAAGAAATAAAAGTATTTGTTACACTTAATTTCAGTTTTATTTACTCTTGAAACAGAACACATTTAGGGACCCTATGGAAGTACATCTAGTTTTTATAAATAG